CATTTTTCTACTTTAAACTTTCAGCTAATCTTTTTTTTTAGCTTTTAGCAATTTTATTAGAAATGTCTGGTTATCTTATTTAACTTTTATCTTTGAGCCAGTCTTTTACTAATTTTAACTTCTTGTTCATACTTTTAGCTCTCTCTCTCTCTTTTATTAGCTTTTAGCTAGTCTTTTGCAGCTTTTAGCCAATACTTAGCTTTTTTTTCTTGCTGTCTTTTTGGTATTTTTTTTAGCTAGCTTTTTGAAACTTTAAATGTCTTGTTAGTTAATACATTTAGCTAGCTTTTTACTACTATTAGCTTTTAGTTAGTGCTTTGCTACTTTTAGCTTGGAGTTACTGTTTCACCACGTAAGTTTTTAGCTAGAATTTTGCAACTTTTAACCAATGTTTTGCAATTTTGTTCTAGCTGCCTTTTTGGTATTTAAGCTAGCCACTTTTTACTTTTAGTTGAGTCAGCCTTTTGCTACTTTTAACTTCTAGTTGATACTTTTAGTTAACTTATTACTATTAGCTGTAAGCTACTATTTTGCTACTTTTAGCTTGGAGTTTAGCTTTCAAACAGAAAAGCAGTTTCTCTGTTTTTCATATTTAAAGGGATGTTTTCATTTGTCTTACTTGAATTAAATGTGTTTTTCAGGATATTTACGATGAAGACGACGAGGTCAGGAAGCCGAAGAAACCTCGCAGGAAAATGATCAGAACCACGTCCATCACCAGGGTGAGTTCCTCCTCTTGGTTCCGCCACACTGAGCTTCACGCTCGKCAATCATTGACCGAGAACATCCTGGGACCTGCGCAGCTTTTAGCAGGAAGAACACGGCGTGTTCCATTAGGACCACCTGAGTGAGCATGTAAATGACCACTGTGGGCTCGCTGCTTGTAATGGGCTTCACATGAAATGAGCAATCCAGCCGAGGGTAACGGAGAATTTACGAGRGCAGCTGTCCTGCTCATTGAGCTGTAGCATCCGTTCCTCTTCTTCTTCTAACTAAATGTTTTCTGTTTCCTGCTTCTCGCTGCAGCAACCTAACTTTAAACAGAAATTCGTGGCGCTGCTGAAGAGGTTCAAAGTTACAGACGAGGTAAGACGCTTTGAACGACCCCCATAAGGACGATTTTAGAGGTGCCTGATCTTTTTCTCTCGACCCCCCCCCTGTTGTGAAGTCTCCTGTGACACCTGGAGTTATTAAATTGCCTTTGGGGCAGCAGAACCTAATCTCAGTATTGACTGAACAGAATATTGCTGCATCGATGCAAACGTGTCCCTGACAGGAAGAGAGCAACCAGAGCCGCTTTATTACTTCTTAACTCTGAGGTGTTTGGTTCAAACGTTTATATTAGCAGCAGAATCAACTGATTAACACTTAAATGTTATTAATATTGTTTTATTTGAAGTATTTTAGCTGATTCAGAGTTTAACAGAGTTTCCAGTTTTTATTTCTTCTMGAATTTTCCAACAGATCTTTTGTTGTTTGGAAACGTTCAGCTCGTTAAGGAGATGAATATGAATTTAGCATTTTTTTACTTTGATTTTTTCTAAATATTTAACATTATTTACAAATATTTTCCCCAAAGAAATACTTTGAAATATATTCTGTTTATTTTTTCGCTTTAGCTAGCCTTTTGCTTCTTTTAGCAACTTCAGGTAATTTTTACCTTTTTTAGCTAGTTTTTTTGCTTCTCTTAGCTTTAAGTTGATCTTTTTGTCCTTTTAGCCTTTTTACCTAGCCTTTTTATAGCTTTTTGCCATTTTAGCTTATAGTTAAATGTTTCTTTTAGTTTTTAGCTGTTTTGATACTTTCAGTCAGCCTTTATTTTGCTACTTTTAGCTTATAGCCTTTTGATAATTTTAACTTTTAGCTAGTTTTTTTTGCTTATTTTATTTTTTTAGTTCTTTTGCTTTTCTTAGCTTTGAGTTTTTTCCTTTAGCTAAACATTTAATACAATTAGCCTTTACCTAGCTTTTTGATACTCGCAGCTAGCTTTTTGCCTTGTTTAGCTTTCAGATAATGTCTTTCTTCTTTATTTTCATCATTTTTGACACTTTTGCTAGCCTTTCTTCTGCTCATTTTAGCTATTTTTAGCCTTTTGATGCTCTCAGTTAGCTTTTTGCCATTTTTAGCATTCAGATATTTTCCTTTTAATTTTCAGGGTTTTTTTAATACTTTTTGCTAACCTTTCATTTGCTACCTTTAGTTTTTAGTTCACCATTATTATGTTTATGTAGCAGCTAGCCTTTTGCTACTTTAAGTTKATTTTTGCCATTTTTAGCTTTTAGTTTTCAGCTTTTTGATTCTTTTTGCCAGCCTTTCTTTTGCTTTTTTTAGTTTTTGCTCTTATTTTTCTACTTTTAGGTTTCAGTCAACAATTATGTTTAGGTAGCTTCTAGCTTTATGCTATTTTAAGCTACCTGCTACCTTTCGCTTTCTTTTAGCTAGTGTTTAGGGGACTTACCTTTTGAGCTACATTGGCTTATAGTTAACATTTTGTTCCCTTTTATTTAACCATTCATTACTATTAGCTTTTACCTACCTTTTTGGTACCGTTTAGCTTTAGCTAGTCATTTACTACGTTTAGCCCTAGTTAGCTTCTTTTGAGTAGCAGCTCTGGTTTTGTAACTCAGGTGTCTCGATGGTCTTTTATCCTGCTCCTGTCACTAATCTCTTCCTTGTGGCGAGGTAATGTTTAGCTCTATAAATAGCTGGGCGGGAGTTCCTGCTCTTATAGAGTGGCATTAATCACRTGATTAGTCCACAGGCCTGGCTGAGTCTGGTTCCTACGGTGCCAACGATCCCTCACCTTTAATGACCCGGATCAGAGCCAAGGCCAGGATGTATTTAATGCATCGATTTTCTTCTGCCTTTGTTCTCCATTAGTTCTGAACGGGCCAATAACAGCAGAGATTTACTTCCTACAGCCGCTTGATTTATTGTTCTGAAGACAAATCTTTGATTACAGCATGTTTAACCTGACTGACAGGTTCTGGACTCTGACCCGGTGGATCAGACCCAGGAGGTGGAAGAGGATCTGGACCTGCTTTACGACAGTCTGGAGGTGTACAACCAGAGCGACAGCGGGCCAGAGATGGACGACAACGACAGCGTGCTGAGTACCCCCAAACCCAAACTCAAGTACGTTCCTTCAACAGCGTTCTCCTCGAAGCGTTCCGTACGACGAGACGGAGAGAATCCGAAGGAGAAATTAGGATTTTTTTCATATAAGATTTGAGATTAAAATCGAGCAGGACGTGTAACTTTTGACAAAAAATTTATTTTTAATCGCAAATTACAGTCAGAGAAAATATTTCTGTTTATCACGGAAAAGAATTTGAGCCACAGAACAAAAAATAAAAATAATTTCCTAAATTGACTGTAATCTCAGAACACTGAGATTAAAATCATAATTTTGACGTTCAATTATGAGATTAAAATGAGAATTCTGAGGTTAAGAGTTGGAATTCTGAAAATAAAATTTGAATTCTGAGATTGAAGTTTAAATA